TCCCATTCCTCTTTCCCAGATATCCCCCTTGTTTTTAGTCGCTCTTGTCTTCGCCACACAGCCCTGGCCGCAGCAACCTGCTCGTTGTCCCACATGCTTGTTTTTAGGACCATGTGCGTGTGTTTGCCGCCCTGCCTGTCTTGCAAGACTGCGTGGGCGCATACTTGCTGCCCTGTATGCCTTGCCATAACCCGTTAGCTTCCCGGTATCCGGCTGCGACACACGCCACTCCGTGCTTGCGCGCGGATACAGCGATCATAATGTTGCGTTCTCAATGGCCCGCGACTCTTTCTTACCATGCCGGCCTCACGCTGTGTGTGCGCAAGGCACACCAACCCACGTCTTGAGGTCAGCTGCCTGATGCAGATGCCCTTTCTAAAAGGAACCAGGGTGAGGCTGAGACTGCACTTTAACCAACTAGCCAGCAACGACTTCCTGAGACCCACGTCGGAAATGTTGCTGTAAGGGTCCCTTGTGGATATTCAGGTCCGCCTTCACTTATGATGGAAATGGTGTTCGCTGGGGTCACAAACCACCGAAACAACAAAAATAATAATAATAATTATTATTATTATTATTATTATAATAATACCGTACGGCAGCGGGCAAAGGCGGAAGGACAGATTGCAAACGATGAGATCACATTGAAAGCTAGGAAGTCCTACACCGTCCAGAAAGCAGTAATGCACCGCTACACCAACAGAGAATCAAAACACTACATCAGGTCGTCAATGGAAGCCTACTCTCGCCGTCACCAACATGAGTATCAAGAGCCTTTCTCCCACTTGGCGCTCGACGCCCAAACTACTGTCGCGCAGCTACTACCAGCCTACGAATGGACAATGCCACTGTTGACGTCGGCAACAAAACCAAGGTACATGATGATGTCAACTACACAGACTATTGCCAAGATCAGGTACGTACCTCGTGTCATCATCACCCTTATCTTTGTCACCTTTTTTCCTCTCCCTCTCTCACGCACCAGTTTTTGAGATCCAGTCACTAAGCCTTGAACAAAGCAAATTACAACCACCCTCTGTCAGCATCCTTATCAACGGTAGGTGACTCTCTCCTCTATCCCTAACCCAATCTTCCTCTTTCTCTTCCTCTGTCTTCCCTCTTAGTCTGTCCCTCCTGGTTCTCCTTATCCATGCGCTTTCTCTCTCTTTTTGTGTTTGCCTGTTTGTCTCTGTCTGTTTGTTTTACTGTACTAATTACCTGCAGGTCGCAGGTTCAAGCCCCCGGCGCCCGAAGTCGTTGTTAAAGCGCGAGCCCCTTTGTTAAAATTAAAAAAAAAAAACAAGGGTCGGTACTTACCCTTGACCGTGACATCGAGGGTCAAAACGGGAAAAACACTCAACTGGTGGCGAAAGAGGCCCGCAACACTTCAGACCAGTGAAAAATACTCAAGTAGCAGGTAGGCCGATACCACACCTAGTAGGGGGAAATGTGTCGGGCACTCGAGGCTAAGCAGAAGATGACAAAAGCCGACCTTTTTTTTTTTTTTTTTTTTTTTAAAGAGGCCCAGCACCGATTGTCGCCCCCTGGTGTGGTGGCATTAAATTTCCATCGGCTGCCCCGCCCGGAGGGCCGGGTTTATATTGATTTCCCCAGGTTTCTTATTTTCGAGTTCACGGCGGAGCAATCCGCCGCCCTTACTATACTGGTCGGTCAGATGTTCCGTGAACCGCTTGAACCTCTGACTGGTCTAGATCACGGCCGCCACATCCTGTGCGACATTTTCTCGCTTCTCCTCCAACCCCCCGGCTTTGCGGCCGAAGACTTTTAATTATTACTAACCCTTAATTATTGTTGTACACGCCGTATCACTGCGTATGGTCACCTAGGCATGTCGGCCTCAATGGTCAAGAAGTTTGCTTCACGACGCTATGCCAAAAAAAATTCTCACTTTTTACTCCGAACTGTCTCTGGCACGGCGACCAGCGTCGATACTATATCAAATGCAAAGTCATGAGCAAATACTCTTGCAAGGGTGTTTGCTCCAACAGTGCTCGATGGTGAGCAAGACGTTGTTGCCCCGCTGTCGCCTGAGGGTGACCGTAGCGACGACTTCGACCTCTGCGAGGTCGTCCACTACCACCTGGAGGACTCTACCCTCCCTATAGCCAAGCGCCTCCAGCTCGCCCTCTCCACCCTCTCCCGGGCACGCAACCGCTCTGGTCACGCTGGCGAGTCGCACCCTGAGGCCCCTCAGCATAACCTCCCTCAGGGTTTTCTCCCTCCTCGGGGTGTCCTTTCTGTTGAGGAGCCCACTGTCGCCTGAGGGTGACCATAGCGACGACCTCGACCTCTGCGGGGTCGTCCACTACCAGCTGGAGGACTCTACCCTCCCTATAGCCGAGCGCCTCCAGCTCGCCCTCTCCAACCTCTCCCCGTTACGCAACCGCTCTGGTCACGCTGGCGAGTCGCCCCCCAAGGTCCCTGAGCAGGACCTCCCTTAGGGTTTTGTCCCTCCTCGCGGTGTCCTTTCAGCTGAGGAGCACGTGACCATTCTGGGCGGTGTTTGCGCTGCCGCCAGGACGGTCATACCTCCTTGCAGTGCCCTTACCCCACCGCCCTCGACCACCACTACGCTGAGCTCTCTCACCAGCGCCGTTCTCATTCCCCCCCTGGCACCTCGCATCCCCGCGGCACCTCCTAGCCATGGTTCAGTGTACACCTGCCCCCTCCTCAGTAGTCGGTTTCCCAACATCTCCGTCGCAATTTGCCCCCCTCGCTACTGGAGCAGAGGTGGAGCAGGAATGGGAGCAGGAGGGGCAGGACGATGAGCGGGGGGAGCTTGGGGGGCTCGGGAGGAAAAGCAATGGGACTGGACGTGGACGAGATGATGACAAGCAGCAGGAGAAGCGGGAGAACGGGAAAGGCGATGAGCAGGAGGACAGTGAACAGGAGGCGCACCAAGAGTGGGAAGGTGAGGGGGAGGAGGAGAGGGAGGAGGAGGGGGAGGAGGAGGACAGACAGGAGTACAATTAGCAGCAGGACTCCGCGGGTGGCGGGAGTGAAAGGAGGAGAGGGGACTCGGAGACGAGCGGAAAGAGAAGCAAGAGGAGTGGCAGGAGGAGCAGCACAATGACGAGGGGTAGGACGAGGAGAGCGAGAACGAGGGGCAGCAGGAACAAAAGGGACAGGAGTGGGAGGAAGATGGGAAACGAAAGGAGGCAGAGCGGAAGGGCAACGAGCCGCAGGCGAAGGACGACCGGGAGGAGGGGGAGATTGGAGGACCTTGGCAGGAAGAGGCAGGAGGAGTGAAACGAGTGCGAGGATGACCACTGGAAGGGCAAGGAGAAGCAGAAGGATGACCAGTGGGAAGAGGACAGCCACAAACGGAAGGCGGACAAGGGACGAGGATGCCGGAAGAGAACATGGGAGGGGCACGGGAGATGGACGTGCCGTCTTTGGAGGTATTTGTACGTGTCTATGTTGTCATATTCGCTATACACTAAAAAAAAAAGCTCGGCTGTCCCAAACTTCGTGTGTCTAAGAGAGACAGAGAAAGAGACGGGCTTGCTAAACACAAAAACTGCGTCCTCTCTCTCCAGACAGAAGGTCCAATTTGACTTACGGTTGGCTTTCCTAAGCTTATGACACGTGGCAATGACCTGCTGGAGCGGATGGCCCAATTTACATTGCCGCCAGAAACAAATCCCTCTCTCTCTCTCTCTCCCCCCCCCGCCCTTAATGCAAAAACAGCAGGCTTGCTTTGGTAGCGAAAATAATCAAGCAAGAGTCTAACAACCCTCCTCCCTTGCCTGCCACCTCCCAATGGAAATACTATGATGATGATGATGATGATGATAATGATGATGATTAGCTACACATACACACAAAGGCACCCAAAAAAATAAAGGGAAATCCAGAGGGGAAAAAGAAACAAAACTGCCTGCCTGCTGCATATGCACTCCACAGTACCCCACGACGCCCACATAGCACTAGAGAAAGCACAAAGCGCCCAACAGCACATTCCACACACAGAGAGAGAGAGAGAGAGAGAGAGAGAGAGAGAGAGAGAGAGAGAGAGAGAGAGAGAGAGAGAGAAGGGACAGGGGCTGTCTCTTATACACATCTAGATGTGTATAAGAG